CCTCCTCTAAACCCTCTCCCCCAAGAACCACCCCAACACCACCCCAAAAGAACACAATCTTCACCCCCCCCATAATCTATCCCCTCGCCCTCCTCCTGCGCCTCACCCTCCTGCTCTACGGCACCTACCAAGACGCCCACTCCGCCCTCAAATACACCGACATCGACTACCAGGTCTTCACCGACGCGGCGCGCTTCACCGCCGCGGGGAGCAGTCCTTATGACCGCGCCACCTACCGGTACACCCCGCTGCTGGCCTGGCTCCTCCGCCCCACAGTCTGGGCGGGATGGTTCGCCTTCGGCAAGGTCGTGTTCGCGGTGGCGGACGTGGCGGCGGGGTGGCTGCTGGCGCGGACGCTGGTCGCGCACCGCGGGTTGCGCGAGGCCACGGCGCTGCGGTACGCCAGCGTGTGGTTGCTGAATCCGATGGTGGCGAATATCAGTACGCGGGGCAGTTCGGAGGGGCTGTTGGGGTTCTTGACGGCGTTGTTGGTGCATTTGGTTCTCGGGGGTGCTAGCAGCAATGGGCGTGGGAAGGAGCGCATGGGCAGGGTGGTGGCCGCCGGTATCGTGCTGGGGGTCGGCGTGCACGTTAAGATCTATCCGTTTGTGTATGGGGTTTCGGTTCTGTTGGTTCTGGACCAGCATCAGACCCCGCAGAAACAACCACCGCAGATCCACAACCAGCAGAACCCAAACCAGAAACAACAACAACAAGAACAACAGAAGAAAGGACTGGGACTACGACTCTTCTACTACTTCTGCAAGGAACTCACCCCCGCCCGCCTCACCTTCACCACCACCGCCCTCCTCACCTTCCTGGCGCTCAACGCCCTCATGTACCACCACTACGGCTGGCCCTTCCTGCACCACACCTTCCTCCACCACCTCACGCGCGTCGACCACCGCCACAACTTCTCGGTCTATGCGTCTCTGCTGTATGATTCGGCTGCCACCGCTGCCAGCACCAGCACCACCAGCACCACCAGCACCACCGGTGCGATAGCGATCAGGGCCAGCATCGAACGCTGGGCCTTCCTCCCGCAACTCCTCCTCTCCGTGCTCGTCATCCCGCTCGCGCTGGCCCGCAAGTCCCTAACGGGGACGATGCTGGCGCAGACGTTCGCGTTCGTGGCGTTCAACAAAGTCTGTACGAGTCAGGTATGTTTCCTTACCTTTTTGCCCTTGGCCCTTGCCCTTGGTTTTTTGCTGGACTTGCATGCGGTGCTAATCTAGTGTGTGGGCAGTACTTCCTCTGGTACCTGATCTTCCTGCCGCTGTATCTGCCGGACTCGTCGTTTGTGCGGCGGCCGCGGCTCGGGGTGGGGGCGTTGGGCGCCTGGGTGGTTGCGCAGGTGTGTATCTCTCTTTCTTTCTTTCTTTCCTTTCCTTTCTGTTCTGGTTCGGTAGAGGGGGTGGGATGCACCGGTGCTTCGGGATGATCTGTCGTCTGTTACAGGCCCCCAGGATCGTGCTAATCACATTTCCGTATGTCAGGCGCTCTGGCTGCAGCAAGGGTATAACCTCGAGTTTCTGGGGCGGTCGACCTTCGTGCCGGGGCTGTTTGTGGCGTCGCTGGGGTTCTTCGCGGTGAATGTGTGGATTCTCGGGGTGATTGTGCAGGATATTGGGGCGTTGGAGGGCGAGCTACGCTAAGGATGGAAGCTGGATGGATCGTGCGGATGCCACCAGTCACAGGTCAAGTGGTGATACTCATGGTCATTCAGTAGAATGTAACATTATACTATCTTGAAATCTCAGCAGTTGCTACAAACAGTCGGTCATTAAGCGACATGATCACCCTCCCAAACTACGGCTTGGAAACATCGGCTATCACCTTGTACGTCGACGCATGAATGCTCAACGGCCGCGTGCGGGGATACACGGCCCCCACGATCTGCCGATTGTGTCCGTACTGCGGATAGATCCCATCCGACAGCTCCACGTAGTGCGCCTCGGGCCGCGCCTCGTGCAGCGCCTCCAGGATCCGCTCGCTCCACAGGCCCGTACACTCGCCTTCCACCAGCTGGAAGTACGGATTCAGCGGCGGACACGCCGAGTCCAGGTCGATGAACCGGATGCGCATGTAGTCCAGCCGCGAGTGGAGCTGCAGGCTGTGCACCGCGCCCAGCACCAGCTTCTCGAACGACCGGATGAAGTGGAGGTTCGTGATCCCCGAGAAATCGTCCAGGAACGCCAGCCCCGGGTGCACGTTCTTCTTCTCCCGGCAGCAGGTCTTGACCACCAGGTCCAGCGACTTCAGCCGGGACTTGGCCGGCCACGTCGCCATGAAGCCGCGCGTCGCCTGGAAGAGCCCGGCGCACACCTTGCCCGTGAACGCCAGGGACTCGAGCCGCGGCGCCGCTTCGCCCAGCAGCCGGCAGAGGTGCGGCGGCGTGATCCCGTCGGGCGTCCACCCGGTCTGCGAGGTGTCCTTGTTGTAGAAGCCCTCCAAACTGATGTTGACATGCACCAACGACGGCGAGAGCCGCGCCAGCACCTCCGCGATGGTCTCGTAGCCCTCGATCTTGGGCTTGGCGTAGGCACAGTGCCACTCGCGCACGCCCGGCAGCGCCTGGGACATGTTGGCCCAGTGTTGGTAGTCGCGCATGATGTTCCACGCCCCCCGCATGACAAAAGTCTGGATGTCCGGCAGCACGGGGAGGCGCCGCAGCCCCGAGTGCCCGCACGGATCGTCCCGGAAATGGCGCACCATCGGCGGCCGCTTGCAATGGCCCCCCTCGAGGGTCAGGATGCGCGCCTGCGGGAAGCAGGTCTGCACGTGGGCGAACATCTCTTCCAGGGTGGCATTGTGGCTGGCATAGTGGTATCGATAGTCACTGCCGTGGTTGGTGTCCGAATCGTCCCAGACCATCGCATTTTGCAAGGCGGCCGGGTCGGCGAACCCCACGTCTTCGTTGTTGAACCGCCGCGTGGGGAGTTGCTGCGTAAACTGCCTGGTCGCGCGTTTCCCCCAGACCGGGATCCAAATCTCCACATGGCGGACAAAAGGGGCGAGACGGGGGTGCGCCCGGAACCAGCGTGCGCTTGCCGCCAACTCATCTGCGGTGCCCTTGATTTTGACTGTAACCCGATCAGAACGAATCCAAGAGCCTGCGAATAAAAGAACAGAAACTGACTATGGCGGTAGATCCGATCCTGCACCAATTCTCTCCACACCCGGGTTATCAGCGATAGATTCGATAGCGCCTTTCGACGGGGATGACGCAACGACCGGTTCCAACTGCGCGCGGACTTGCCCCAGGTGCAAGTGGTGAAGGCGGATGCTCGTTCCCCAAACAGGTAGTCCAGAATCGCCTCATGGATCTCGATGGGCAGATCTTCGAACTGGATCGCGGAATGGCTGGACTGTGGTAGTGTCTCAACGCTTATCGGGGGTTTGCTATCAGTACCCTCCATCTCGGTATCCACCGGGCTCTGGGGACAAACGACGAGCCCCACCGCGGCGGAGGGAACGGGTCCCTCGGGAAACTGGATCTCCGCGCTGGTACACCGGTTCGATTTGGCATAGGGAAGGATGGTCGAGACCGACGCTTTGGCCAGCGAGTTGACGGACACGGGACGAGGGGGAGGGAGCGTCGAAATCATGACGGGCGGAGGGTGTGATTGTGCGAGGATTCAGAGAAACAAGGGAAACAAGAAAATGGTAAAAAAAGAAAGCAGCATGAAACACCCGGAGAACGCCAAGCAGGGGAGAGAGAAATCAGTAGTCGTGAAATCGTTAGGCTTATCGACGCCGGGCGACAGGGAAGAGTCGATCTTAGTCTTTCAATACTTCTGTGTTTCCAGAGCAGAGATTGAAAGATGAGGGGAGGGACCAAGTTGTGTTTTTTTTTCCCTTTTCCTTCACACAAGTATTGAGTGATCAGGTGGAAGCTGCGGGATTCGTCAGACCAAGACAAACTGGGTTCTTCGTGTGCGACCGTAAAAAAGGATAAAAATAGCGGGAGCGGATGATGGCTTTTTCCTTTCAGATCGGGGGAAAAATGAAGGCTGTTAAATTGAAGTTGAGGTTGATCGGCCAACGTGGTCTATGGCGGTGTTGATGCAGCAAGCAGTGTTGTTCAGTCGATAACCGGCGGTTAGGCCGTCAGGCAGCTGGTGCAAGTAGATACTAGGGTAGGTTAATTAGAAGATGTTAATCGAGATCGAGGGTATCAGAGAGGTAAGCAAAAACGAGCGCAACCAGGCGAGAGGGTATAGAGGAGAAAGACAGGGTGGAATTGGAATTGGTGAAGGGGTACTCCGTATCGAGTGAAGAAAAAGGGAAACAGAAGACGAGAAGACGAGAAGACGAGCAGAAAAAGAAAAGAGGGGGGAAGGGAATAACTTTAAAAAAAAAGGAAAAAAAGAAAACCACAGACGGGGAGAGACAGCAGGAGAGATGGACAAATGATGGGGAGATTTTCCTGGCAGGTTTTCAGGATGGATGGGAAAGTTGAAACCACCCCGAAACTGGCTGGATCTTTCTTTCTTTCTTTCTTTCCATTAGTAGCACCATCACCATCACCATCACCATCACCATCAATACAAACACCTCCATGTCACACCACTCCGTTTACTCTCCTGCTCACTCTCCCGCTCCTCCTACTGGCTCATACCATGACCTAATCCATTCCCGACTGTTTACAGTCTACTTGGATACGATGAAATTGTTTACATCATCTCCTCAGGATCTCCTCCATCGGCCTGTCTGTTTCAAGTAAATCGACCAGCCTGTCCACAATAAATGAAACCAAATGATGCTATATCGGGATACACCATATCATCTGTAATCCATATCGTTCGCTTTTGGATAGATAAAGATTGCAATGAGGACCACAGGCAGTGCCAGCACAAAGCACCTAGCGTCCGATCGATTCTCTCTCCCCGTTTGAGTCGGATCCATCACCTGAGATCTTCACATCACCGGATGTAACTACTGTACATCCAACACATCAACTCAACTTGCTTCACTTGTGCCCAACACTTGGTGGACAGGATCGATAAGAAGGACCCAAAGTCCCAGTTGGCTTTTCCCCGCAGGGTGGATCTTCTTTCCTTGCACTTTTCCCTTTCCTTTCCTCCCACCCCCACATCTGGCCGCATCTTTAATTTCACACTTTACTTACACTCAACACTAAGCAATCCGGGTACTAACTAGTCCAGTACGGAGTACTCATACACAGATAAACAGATAAGAAATATTCATACTTTGAGTATCAGCGCTAACCCATGCACAAAACGAGACCTGCAATGAAAGACCTGCAGACACGATGAAAGCTATATACACGAAGAATAGAACCACATTTTTCAGCATCAGCCCCGGCGACGGAACCGAAAGCGAAGCTCATCATCGCTGTCGGATTCCTCACGCTCTTCTCGCGTTCGTTTCTGCGAACGAGGCGCAGCCACCTCCGAGTCTGTGCGCGCTAGGGACTGTGAGCGAGACGCCACCGTACCGCTCGGGGTCATCGTTGGCTCTGGAGGGCTCTCTGCCACGGCGGCCTCGGTCGATCGATGACTGTTGCTCACCCAGTAATGATCGCCCACCCCAAATTCCTTCCGGGTGACCTCCTCCAAAGGAACTATGACGGTCTGGATGCGATAGCGCGGCTGACTAGGATCTCCCTTCCGGCGGAACCTTTTGAAGTTTTTGCGCCCGTTCCAGCGATCGTTCCAGCGGCTATCCTCCGCATCGACATTGCGCGGCTTGACGTCCATTTCCTCCACAATAGCAAGTCCTTTGAGCTTTTCGATATCCACCTCTTGCAAGGAGTCCTGGAGAGATGCCTCGTCCGCAACCCGGCGCCGACGCTGGGCATCCTCTTCGGCTTCCCGATGCTGTCGGGCGGCCTCGAGCACATCTAGTTTCTGACGCTTAGGTTTGCGAGGGGATTCCTCCTTGGGCTGGGGCGCTCCATCGTCTACAGATTGTCGAATGGTCTCAGTACGTCGACGTTTCATCGCCGCAGCACCTGGCAGTAGACTAGAGACGATATTTTCCTCGTCGTTCAAGCTATTCTGCTGCTGCGACTCCTGGACGGACGCAGGTTCGATTTCCATCGGAGGAGGAGACATCGCTAAGCTTTCTTCTGGCGCATGAACCGGAATGGAATTGATGTCAAAGCCGTCATCAAATGTCTTCATCTTACTTACGTACCCCCGCACACGAGGCCTGGACTTTCGTGCGGGCGGCTGACTTGCTTCCTCCAACGGCTGTGAGACCACGACAGGAACTGTCTCGCTCGACGCGCTGCCTGGAGGAGGCTGTGGAGAAGGCTCTGCGTTTGCCTCGTCGCTAGCATCGGCCTCCTCAAGGAGAGGTTGACAGAGCGGAGCCGCATTGTTACCCAGGATGGCATCCAGGAATTCACTCTGCTCAACCACACGCTGCTCGGTCAGCAGCGCAATCTGTTTACTGAGCTCCAGGGACCACTCCTCATGGCGACCCTTGGCACGGTACCGAACATGCACCACGCCGCCAGGGCTATTTCGCTGACTTCCAAATCCATTATTCCCCGCAGCGTTCCTCATGAACTGCGCAAATTCTTCAGCTGTAGTCACTCCGTCCTCGATCTGATATAGTAAGACCTTTCCCTGGCCATTGGTCAGGGCATCTTCTAGATTCTCCATCTGTGTGGCATCGCCGAAAACGAAGGTGAACCCCTCGAAAATGCTGAGGCGGGCGGGGTTGGGCGCAAAGGCCTCTTTGGGCCGTTGAGTCGTTTCCTTTCCCGGGGGAGGAAGATGCCCGGCTGGGTCCGGCCATGCCGAGTCGAAGTCAGCCTCAAGAGGGCACAAGGACTCGGGGCTGTCCAGGTCACTGGGAGTCGCAGCGTAGACCAGGGCGTCCACGTAGGTATCCTGAACGATGTGCTTGGCATTCACTAAGGCTTGCAAGCCCTTCGCTGTATTCCGTTTGCTCTGAACCACGTGCGTCGTCTTGTCGACCACGTAGGGTATGATCGTCTTAATATCGAGGTCTTCGAGTCGGGAGCGTACGCGTGCGAGAGGGTCTCTGGCTTTGAGCTCTTTGCTCGAGAAGGAGAAACTCAGCACCGTGGGACACCATTTGATCCTATGTCAAAGGATAGATATTAGCTGCATTCAGCGACAGAAATAGAGTGCCCATTCTCACCGCAGCATATACTCATAACGCCCCAGTTTCAGCTCGTGGTCCTGGCCCTCCAACTTCGTACCCCCACTTATCTTCTCACCGTCAAGCTTGGTGCCCAACTTTGATCCCAGATCGGTAACGATTATCTCTGACTTGGTGTGGAGATGTGCCTACACCCAGTGAGGTCAGCGGGGAAGTTGCCCAGCATCGAACCGCAATACGCACCCCATCGCCCGGTTTGACAGGTGAGACCTCGATCAAGAGATGCTTCCGCGAGATTGTTTTGTTTGCAATGGCATGTCTTACTATACTCCAGTTGTTGGCATGATCAGCATCCAATCCGCAACCTTCTCACAATGGCAAGCATAATTACCTCCATCTTCTCTAGCCCGTCCGAACAGATACTTCTTCCCCGGGCGCAGCCATACGCGCTTCCCTATTTTGCGAAACAGTTAGCCTTCGTTTTGGCCCAAGTGAGGTAAACAAGACACACCCTCAAGGAAATCGCCGTCAGACTCAAGGATCCACATGGGCAAATGGATGGAACCAGCTGCTTGCACGCCAGAAAGAAGGCTAGATAACCGGCTGAAAGAATGACGGCGGCAACATTGCACGTGAGAGCCTCCGCGGGGAAACCCAATAAACACACCAACGCGTGATCACGTGCGCAGGCGTCGGCAGTGGCAGCTTTACCCACTTTGGGTAATAATTGCTTCGCGGGGGCCGGCGGAAAACGTCATCATCACTTTACTCTTCAGACACGAAAAATGGAGCCTCCGGGCGAGGAGCGTCCCGACAGCAACAACAACAACAACAACAACAACAACAACAACAACAACAACAGGGATGCAGACGATAAATTCGAAACCCTCAAATATCAACTGCTTGGACCCTCCTTGACCAAAGCCGGTCAGGATGCCGTGGATCAGCGGAAGGTGAGCAATTCCCCGGCTCCTCGCTTTCTGCCGGCTTCATACTGAGCCGTCTGGTCCGGTTCCAGGTGTCCGAAATCATCTACAACGCCTCCAAGGGCTCCAAGTTCTTCAACCACGAGCAGACCCGCGACAAGGTGCTGACGGCGAAGATCGCGCGCATTCTGCGCGAGAAGGCGCACCTCGAGACACTCGACCTCTCGGCCGACCTGCGGCGCGCGGACCAGCTGCTCGCGGAGCTGGAGCTGACCCGGGATTTGACGCAGCACGTCGTGCACGTCGACTGCGACGCCTTCTTCGCGGCGGTCGAGGAGCTGGACCACCCGGAGCTGAAGGCGGTGCCCATGGCCGTCGGCAAGGGCGTGCTGACGACCTGCAACTACGAGGCGCGCAAGTTCGGCGTGCGCAGCGGCATGGCCTCCTTCGTGGCGATGAAGCTCTGCCCGCGGCTGGTCTGCCTGCCCATGAACTACGACAAGTACAGCGCCAAGGCGCGGGAGATCCGCGCCGTCTTCGCCCGCTACGACCCCCTGTTCGAGAGCGCCAGCATCGACGAGGCCTACCTCAACCTGACGGCCTACTGCGCGGAAAACGCGGTCGGCGCCGAGGAGACGGTCGAGCGCATGCGCGCCGAGGTGCTGGCCGAGACCCGCGTCTCGGTCTCGGCGGGCATCGCCGCCAATGCCAAGCTGGCCAAGATCGCCTCGAATCGGAATAAGCCGAACGGCCAGTTCTGCGTGCCACGCGAAAGAGAGGCGATCATGGAGTTCATGCGCGAGCTGCCGGTGCGGAAGGTGAATGGCGTGGGCCGCGTGTTTGAGCGCGAGCTGGAGGCGATCGGCATCAGGACCTGTGGGGATATCTTCCCGCAGCGGGCGTATTTGGCGCGCTTGTTCGGGGAGAAGGCGGCTTACTTTCTCATGCAGTGCTTTCTGGGCCTGGGGCGGACGAAGATCCAGCCCGTGGAGAACTATGAGCGGAAGAGTGTGGGCACGGAGCGCACGTTTCATGAGTTGGGCGGTAAGGAGGAGCTGCGCGCGAAGCTATGGTCGGCGGCCGAGGAGTTGGAGAAGGACCTCGCGCGGACAGAGTTCAAAGGTCGCACCCTGGTGTTGAAGGTCAAGCTGGCTACCTTCGAAGTCCTCTCGCGGCAATGTCAGCCCTCGCGCGCGGTATCTACCGCCAAGGACCTCTATGCCTTCTCCCTGCCGATGCTGGAGAAGCTGGAGAAAGAGATCCCTGACATGAAGCTGCGGTTGCTGGGTCTGCGCTGCACCAACCTCGTGAGCACCAAGAAAGTCGGCGTCGAGTTCTTCGGCGTCGCCCCTCGGCCGAAACCAGCTGCGGAGCCGTCTACCAACAACAATTCCGACCAAGAGATCGGCGCGGAAGAAGCGTTTGAAAGGGCTGCGCGTCAGGAGCTGCAAGACGAGATGAACGAGATTGAGAAGCTCAGCCAGGAGGTCTCTGAATCAGCAGATGGCGAAAGCAAGCCTGCTCATAATACAGCCCCGATGTATTGGGATTGCCCGATATGTTTGAAACCACAGGTGGCTGATGATCGGATCTTCAATGACCATGTCGACTACTGTCTCTCCAAGCAGACCATCAAAGAGGCGGTCCAGGGTGCCACTGAGCATGTCCGTGAAGAAACCCCGCCGGCTGCGTCCAAATCACGCAAGCGCAAACCACCCGGACAGGAGTCGCCGGATCCGCGACAGAAGAAACTGTTCTTTTCTTGACTCGTTCAGCGTACGTATGCTGTAAATGCATCGTGTTGAGCTCATGGTGAGGCGTCACGGCACCGCAGATTGTCTTGTCCGGTTTCAACCCTGATTCCTCGGCTGGTCCTTGGAAAATTGAATCCAACCTGTTTACAATAGCATTTGCGCACCATCCCTTCTCTTTTGCGAGTCATACACTATAGACAACCACATATACCCCTTTTGGCTTTCTCCATACCAGCAACTTTTAATTGGATGAATATACCTTTAGATAGACATTTCTTTCAGAACAGTACAGAGACAATGGGGGTCACGACCCGGATTTGGGTGCTAACCAACAAAACCTGTGAGCTCCATACTATTTTATTCTGTGGCAAATAGCATCATCTACTATACAACCCATCTCCACACCCAGCACAGGCAATTCTATCTCCCGCAATCAGTCAGAAACACCACTCTTCGTCCACCAGAACTCACACTCCTTCCCACTCCACTCATCATCAACCATCTGCGCCGTCACCCCGATACCCCGGCCCCCCGCACGCTCATCATTCCCCTCTCCGAGCACCATAATCCTCCTCCCAGCTTTCTGGGACCCATCAAACGGCTCCCAGCGCGGTCTGCGCGCAAACCTGCCCTGCACCGCATTCGGATCGCCCCTCACAATAAACGACGTGATGTACGCATGGAACGTCCCCGCCACCTCCTCCTGCGCCGCCGAAATCGCCCGCACCTCCGGGTTAAACGTCTCATACGCCATCTGGTCCCCATGGTTCGCCCCGCCCTGCAGCGTCTTATTCAACGCCCACCGGTACAGGAACACGGGCGCGCGCTGCCCGGCCGACGCAAACCGCGCCGTCTGGCGCACGGGACAGGCGTACGCGTAGTGGCCGTAGGCGGCCTCGACGCGCTGGTACTGCTCCCCGACGCTGAGATTCCGCGTCTCGACGTACGGGGACGTCGCGTCGACGGCTGGGTCCGGGTAGAGCGCGTCGATGGTCCGCAGGTCGTCCTCCGTAAAGGCGGGGAGGAGGGCGTGGAAGAACGCGGTGAATTCGTCCGATGTGGCCATCGCGGCCGGGACGTAGTACGTGCCCTCGTTGGTGTTGAAGCCCGTGAGGAGCGGGAGGTTCTTGTTCCAGGTGCCGGCGCGCCAGGCGTCGATGGGTCGGTGCTTGATGAGGTCGTTGTCGATGACGGGTTGGAACGCCCACCGCACTGACGGGTTGTAGTGGTCGAAGACGGTGAATGAGGCGTTGGTGATGGTCGCGGACGGTGCGGCGCGCAGGCAGGTCAGGATGTCGTGCGAGGAGAGGGAGAGGGTCGGCTCGCAGCCTGCTGCGGTGACGAACTCCCGGAATTGCGCTTCGTGCAGCGCGGCGTGGTAGGGGTGCACGGCGCGCGAGGTCGCGGCGCCGGATTCGATGATCGCGCGGTGGAAGTAGGTGTGCTGCAGGTCGGTGTTCATGATGTGGTGGGCGATCTGCGGTGGTTTAGTCTTTTTGACTTGATGGATGATGAAAGGGGCTGTGGGTCGGTCTTACTGAGTGTGCGCCGGCTGAGAGCCCGATCAGCGTGACTTGGGAGGGGTCGCCGCCGAAGCTGGCGACGTTGTCTTGCACCCATTGGAACAGGAGGAGTTGGTCGTGCAGGCCGAGGTTTAGGATGCCTTCGTTCGCGGTGGTGGTCGAGGGGAGGAAGCCGAGGGCGCCGATTCTGGGTTGTGTCAGATGCATTGCGTTAGGGTTTGGCCGGGGCGCATGCATTTACCTGTAGTTGAAGCTGACCGCGACAAAGGGCTCGTCGGCCCAGCCCACCATGGACGCTGTATTGTGCATCGAGGCTGGGCTGGTCAGTTGTTCGTTCATGCATCCCGGGAAGAGTGTCTTACCTGATCCTCGATTGTAAGCGCCCCCGTGGACGTAGACGGCAACAGGGAGCTTGTCCTTGCCGTGCACACCCTGGGGTCGGAAAACGTTCGCCGTGAGACAATCCTCGCTGCTGCCGCTGTCACCGGGGATCTGCAGCAATTGCTTGCCAGGACAGCTGCCGAACCATCAGCCGACGTGCACTGCATGCTCCACTGAAAACATACCGTGGCCCATAACGACTGGCATCGATCAACTCGTCCGAAGCGTTGACAGGAACAGCCCGACGGAACCTGCGATCGCCCACCGGCGGGAGAGCATAGGGAATCCCACGGAACGCGTCGACCGGGTGGTTCAAGGTGTCTGTCAACGTGGTGCCCACGACCGTGCCCTGGGAGAGGGCGACGCGGGGTCGATTCAGCAGGATAGCGTTGTGGAGCGATGCGGGCAGCCACGAGGCCAGGAGCGTCTGGAGCTGTTGGGTGCTGCTGGATGGCTGTTGCACAAACAGTAGTAGGATCACTGGCAGTGCCGCCAGGACAAAAGGTCTGACACTTAGCATGGTAGAGAGTATAACGTATGAAGTGATAACATCCGGGTTTTCGATGGAGATGCCGAACGCGGTCCTTCTTATTGGGGATTGAGGAATCTCCTCATCGGCGACCACTTTTGCGTGCCGACAGCGCTATCAATCGCTTTCCCCGCCTTGCCTTTTCCCCCCCTCCTCCCCCTCACCCACCCTCAATCTTATCTTCTGCTTCTCCACCTCCATCCTTCCTCTTATCTCGGACACTCTCCGAGATATACTTCGTCACGAGCGTTTATCGAATGTTGACTGCGTTCAAGATGGCAGTTATCGGTCCTCTCTCGTGGAGAACACTGCATTCGGCAGCTTTGTCCGGGTTGTTGACCACGCTTATCAGCGCTGGGTGCAACCGATTTCCACCGACCAAGTCTCGAATGATCAGAGGGTTCAAAGCCATGTTTCGAGCAACTATGATGGACATTCCCAGCACCTTATCTCATAACAATAGAGGGAAAGCTGTCGAGGTCGAGGCCGGTTGTCTTGGGAGTATTTAAGGCACCCCTCACTTCGCGAGTAGTCTTTCAGCAAGCCATCAAGAAAGATCACACATCCTTCCAAATGGCGGACAACCTACCCCAGGGAACTGTCAAGCACCAGGAAAAGGAGAAGCTCCCTCCTATACATGTATCCAAACCCGACGATGTGGAAGTCGGCCAGGTCTCCTCGCTCGACGAAGCCGAGCTCTTCCTCCACGAGCACGGCGTCTCCCACGAACAACTTCAGGCCATGCTCGACGACCCCGTCCGGACGAAGAAGCTGAGAAGACGCATTGATCTGATCCTGCTCCCGCTCATGTGCGGCACATACTGTCTTCAATACATCGACAAGCAGGTGCGTCTCTCCCACTTGCACAATGGCGTCATGCTAAGTCTGCACAGGCCTTATCGTACAGTGCGGTGTTTGACTTGTTCACCGATGCCCATATCGACAGTAACCAGTACAGCTGGCTTGCCAGTATCTTCTACTTTGGTATTGCGCTCTCCTTGTGGTATGCTGTGGGACGCTGACGGGCCAGGGTATCTGTTCTGGGAATACCCGGCCAGTTATATTGCACAGCGGCTGCCGATCGGCACCGTTGTGTCGAGTTTCGTGTGAGTGTATCGCTGAGACGCGAATGTGAGCAAGCTAACGAGGCGTAGAATTGCCTGGGGTGCGATTCTCATGATCACCGCGGCCTGCCATAACTTCACGGGAATGGCTGTGTGTCGGTTTTTGCTGGGGTGCTTTGAATGTATGTTCCTCCTCTATAATACACGCCAACACCGCTGACGTCGCAGCGCCAATCACTCCGTGTTTCATGATGATTGTGGGCATGTGGTATGTTCGTCAAGAGCAGCCCTTCCGCGCCGGGATCTTCTACTGCTGTAACGGGGTGGGGTCGATGGTATGTTGGCCTTTGAGATGTCTACTATTGATCTGAGACTCACTAGCTGGGAAGGTTGGTGGACTCATCACCTACGGCATCGGCCAGATGGACGGCTTTCCCGTCTGGCGCGCTGTATTCCTCATCTGCGGTGGCGCTACCATCCTCTGGGGAATCCTGATGCTACTCTTTCTCCCGAACAGTATCCTCTCCTCGAAACGCTTCTCCGTGGAAGAGACGATCATGCTCATTGGCCGCGGAAAGCAGAATCACACTGTCCGTCCATCCTGTCTTCATGTCCAGAGCTAGTCGCTCGCTAACTGAAGGGCCCAGGGTATCCTCAACCGCTCGATCAAGTGGTACCAGATCCGCGAAGCCCTCGTCGACCCGCAAGTCTGGCTATTGTTCCTGTTCACTCTTCTGAATGAGACCGTCAACGGGGGTGTAGCCAATGTACGTCTTTCACCTCCTGTTTCACAGGTCAACGACATCAAATACTAAAACCTGAGAAACAGTTCGGCAAACTCATCATCCGCGGCCTCGTCTCCAGCTCGCTGCTCACCACGGTCCTGAGCATCCCCCAAGGCGCCTTCCAGGTCTTCTTCATTCTGTCCGGCACGTACCTTTCCTCGCGCTTCAAGAACATCCGCACGGTCATCATGGCCGTGTATCTCATCCCGACGGTGACCGGAGTTTGCCTGCTCTGGAAGCTGCCGCGGACGAATCGCTACGGCGTCTTGTTCGGATACTACATCGTGAGTGGCCCGCCCCATCAACTGACAACCCCGCGGAAGCACCACGCTGACCACAGGGTAGGTCGGATCCTTCGTGACCTCGCTCGTCCTCGCGCTGCAGATGCCCTCCAGCAACATGGGCGGCTACACCAAGCGCGTCACGGCCACGGCCTTCGTGTTCCTGGCCTACTGCATCGGGAACATCATCGGCCCGCACGCGTTCCTGGCCGCCGAGGCGCCCGTGTACGCGACCGGGTGCAAGTTGATCCTGGCGTGTGCGTTGTGTCAGATGGTGATTGCGGGGATGTTGCGGGTGCTATTGGCGCGGAGGAATCGCCAGCGCGAGTTCGCTGTTACCACTGCTGGAAGCGGAGGGGACGAAGGAGGAGAGGTGATGGCCGATCTGACGGATTTCGAGGTATGTCTGCTTGCTTGCTGCTCCTTTGCCTGCTCAAAAAATTCTGTGCTACCGTTCAAGCTAGCTGACGTGTGTATACAGAATTCGCAATTCCGCTATGTTCTCTAAGCTATATATAAATATATCTATACCTCAACCATCCACCCAAACCCCCTCCCTCCCCCATGCAATAAACAGATTACATAGGCAACCCCCCCATCTCCTTCTCACTCCAATACCTTCTCATATTCTCCGCCCGCAACGCCTCCACCTCCTCATCCAAATGCGCGAAAAGCACCGCCCCAAACCCCTCCAGCAACCGCCTCACCTCCCCGCGCTCCAAATCCCGCTCGCCCCGCCGACACCCCTCCAGATACGCCTCCAACGCATCCATCCCCCGATGGATGACTTTATGCTGGCCGACCAAGCTCAGCTCGCGCCGGAACTCGGGCATCCGGCGGGCCAGCACGGGGAAGATGTGCCGCTCCTCGATGGTGTGGTGCATCGTGAGGTGGTGACAGAACTCGAGGCCCCGGGCGATGAGGGCTTTTGGGGGGAGTTTTTTTGTCTGGGTGGCGTCGCAGGCGGTTGTCAGGGTTGTGTAGGTGTGGCGGAAGTGGGTGTGCTTTTGTCTTGGAGTTAGTGTTGGATTTGAGGGGGTGGGGGGATAAGTGTGGCGTGGTGTTGGTGCTGATGGATGGATACATAACATATATGTAGGGTTGTATAGATACTGTGTACATATGAATGCAGCGGGGCGGGAGAACAGGAACCCAGGAACCCAGTAAAACCGTAAAACCACGGGCAGCGGGTGAACGAAAACCATAATAGCCATTCATAGACGGATGCAAAATGCTATGCACATTCCTCCCGCAGGATAAACATGAGGGTTCGAAGGGGGGGGGGGGGGGGAAACATACAAACTGATCCATATGCTCCGCCAACCGATTGTAGACCCGAAACTCCTTCGCGGAGAGCGGCGGGAGGGGAGCGGCCGCCTCCTCTTTCGCTTCCGCTGCCGCGGGCTGCGCACTGGGCTCGGAGGGATCGGGTGTAGATTGCGCAGCAGCAGGCGGCATGGTGGCGAACGTTATCCGTCGATAAGGAGCACACTCCCACTTTCCAAAAGAAACGCGGGCGGGGAGGAACTGGAATGGTCTGGGCAAGTGGCCGGCAGCAGGGCGAGTGAGGCAACAACCGGAAGATATGCGTGCAATGAAGCGCATGGGGGGGGGTTTCGTTGCCAAGATGCCGTCAGCAATTGTAAGCAAACGATTGTTGATTATGACTATGATTTGTGGATTGGGATTGGGATTCGGATTGTGATTAGTATGGGGGCTGATGCGGTTGGATAAGAGAAAAAACTACAAGAGGCTTTCTTTCGGCAGTTGAGGGCGTCCGTCAGGGACCGGGATTGTGGGGCGGCTTGGATAAAATAAGTTGGGCTTAGTTCCGTGGGCTGAGCGGTCTGGAAAAACTGGGCTGGAGTTGATTATCGGCAGAATAGGAATTCAAGCACCCGAGCGGAGGCTACTCCGACACTGACCGCTTTTCTTGTCCTTCGACTCAAGGACAGTACTCTGTACGGAGCACACTAAACCCGTTTAGAGCCTGGAATAGAATCAGTGGCTTATAGAAAATCCCGTCCGCAGAAGATCTCCAATACCAGTCCATAGACAGTGCTGAAAGTAGTTAGCACGGTTCACTACCGCAAAGATCAGGAAGCAGAATTTGGAATAGCATATGAACTACGAGGTGGAAAACGAGTTGCAGAGATATATCAATTCAAGAACTAGCTATGTTTACAGTATGTTCCAGGTCCTCAATGGATGTTTGCCATCGCAACAGTGAAGTTGCAAGACACACATCTAGTACGTCGCTGGGCGAGAATTTCTCTTTTCAATATCAGCACTTCTTCGGCACAACCACAGTCATGGACAGGCTGGATTGCAATTTGACATCCGTGCTAGTGAACCTAAAAAAGAGAATGTGTGAGGTCAATGTATTAAATATGGCGGTCATGGCGGCGAAATAAGGTATAGAACATGAGCCAGCCGCGGTCACTAGTAAGTATCAAGACAGGTCGTAACTCCGTAGAAGATGTCGGAACAAGCTACAGTTCCTGGTGGGCGAGCTCGTGGATATTCTCGGGCGGCCGGAAGTTGCCCTTCCTTAGCTCTTGCCATGCGAGATCAAACCGCGCCCCCAACATCCAAGCCGTGCCAATCTACAACAGTCAGTAAACAATCATGTGAAAGAACAAGAGGCACATACCATAACAACCGAGACGATGACCACAATCACCAACATGAGGCCCATCATAAAGCACACATCCTGGCGCGTGTCAGCCTCCTCCTCTCTCTTCTTCCGCTCTGCCTCAGTCATCTCGCCGGTGATGCGACGCTTGGCCACCTCAGCCGACTGAGTGGGGAAGATCGTCTCAATCCACTTCTCAATCTGCACACTGTTAGTACGTGTTCGCTGGAAAAACGGGGTAATGAACATACCCGTCCGCAGATCAGACTGATCTTCATGAAGTTGGGATCCTTGGGAGTGTTCTTCTTGTGGATCCGTCGGGCGTAGACACGGAAAGTGTCACTCAGCACCCGCAGGTTCTGGGTGGATTCGAACATGAGCTTGCACGCCTCACCCTTAGTGATCTTGATGTTTCTTTCGAAGATCGCCGGGTTGCGGAAACAAAGCTCCAGGGTGGCAATAGCCATAGCCTGCGGAATGGCACAGAAGTTGAAGATACTCTGCTCCCGGAGACCAGCCAGATAGAACAGGCAGTCTTCCACATGTTCCAATGCGTTCAAGACCATTTCGGAGCCGCAATTAAGCGCTGCCTCACGATGCTCTGGCTTGAACAGATCATCAAAGTCGGTGACGTGCTTCGACCAAATTTCTTTGGGCCAGAAGCGACGCTTATCGTCATTGTCCTCTCGGACGTCACGGATGATGTTGGTCTTCTGCAGGAAGAGACCCATCGACTTGTGCAGACGGGTGCGCTCCAAGAGAGCCGGGTTGGCAAACTCGGCCTCGACAAACAGACGCGTCAAGCCTTCTCCCACCAGGCCCGCCACGTACCAGCAGTACTCATCGTACTCGGCCGTGGTCTTGACGCTGGCGTCCTCGAATTCCGCCTTCCGGCAGTAGTCGGCCATACCGTTGCCCATCTTGTCGGTGATGTCCTTCACGATCGCCTGATAGGCCGGCTTCATGTTCTTGAATTCAGTGATGACGTTGTGAAACTGAACCAGCAGCTCACGGTCCTTCTCCTCGGGGCGGTTGCCAGTGAAGGTCCAACCATCCTGCTCGAGGAAATCCTTGAAGCCGCGAAGGAGAGGCTCCTTGGTCTCCAGGGGAATCGAGGTGTCATCTTCGATGGTGTCCAAGCCGCGCAGGACCAGGTAGAAAATGCAGACCGGCAGCAGCAACTCGGGATGTAACTCCTTGATGACGGCGCTGAAACTGCGACTGGTCAAGTCGAGGAACTTGAAGCAGGCCTTCTGGGTTTCGGTCTCGTCCTTCTCATTGCGTTCGTGAACGGGTGAGTGCCAGACTTTCCTATTACCACGGGCACGGACCCCTTCGTAAGCGTTGGCACAAACACACGACCCATCATCACCGCTCAAGGACGTGAGCCAGTACTAACCATTGCACTATCGACCTCAATTCTGAGGGGTGAAAGGTGTAGTAGAAGATGTTCGAAGCGAGGCCCATTGTGAAAACTGAAAAAAGCGACGGGGTATTACGACTGGTGAAAAGCCAGGTTGACAACGTGAGGTAGGGATTATTATAGAGTCAACGGCACAAGCAGGATAAACAGTAGTGAGTCAAGTGACCGAATCAACGGGAACCCAGAAGATTGAAATGACAATCGTGGTACAATAATGTACAGACAGCTATGAGCCAAACAGCCTCAGTAGCTAAGGGGACGCGGAGAAGATGAGACGGAAGTGGAGGGGAAACACGGGGAGGAAGGAGGGATGCGAAAGGGAGAGTATGGAGAGGATGGAGAGGGAGAGAGAGAGGGAGAGAGAGGAAGAGGGAAATTAAATTGGGCGTAAAAAAGGGGGTGGGAGGAGGGAGGGGAGAGTGAGAGAAGAAAGAGGAGAAGAAGAAGAGAAGAAGGAGGAGAAAAAAAACAGTGGTGGAAGAAAAGGTGGTGGTGGATGGAGAGGAAGAAGCGAAGAGGAGAAAACCGAACCAAACGAGGCAATTCATTTTTCCCGCGCCGAGAAAGAAGAGAGAAGAAGCGGTGCAAAGATGCAAACAACCAAACAACGCCTCTGACTGGCCCCGATGAGCCCCGGCGGGCTGTGACCCGGTATTTACCGCATCCTTCGGCTGAGATTGGGCGGAGAGCGGGTCTTCATGACCCGGGATGACCATACGTGACGGTACCTCTGCGGCAACGGAGACCAAAAAAACATCGATCGCTCCCCCGCCATGACGAAAGGGTCGTCGCAAGGCATCCATCTGCCTTTCTCTTGAAATCTTGAAAAAATAGACCAGAACGACTCTACAACCGATACAACTGGTTGATCTTCTGCCTCCACAGACCTTATCTTGTGTGGTGGCCGTCAACTCCCCTCACCCGCCTCAAGACCCACGGCTGCATCCCTTCCCTCCCTCTCCGCTGGCTGTTCTTGCTGCAGCCCAAAACTGATAGCCAAATCATCATCCCTCGCGTGGTCGGGTAAAAGCTTTGCTCCATCCCACCATGGTTGTCGACACTACATACTACGACGCCCTCGGCGTGCCTCCCACTGCGACCGAGCTGGAGATCAAGAAGGCCTACCGAAAGCTGGCTATCGTCACCCATCCTGGTTCGTCCGCGTGCCGCTGTCTTGTCAGCCCTCGAGCGAACTGACCCCTTGGCAGATAAGAACCCCGGCGATGAAACTGCACATGCGCGCTTCCAGGCGGTGAGAAAGCCCCTCGAGACATAACCACGCTGATACTAATTCTGCCCGGGTCTGATCAGATTGGAGAAGCCTACCAAGTTCTCAGCGATGAAGAGTTACGCAAACGCTACGACAAGTTTGGCAAGGAGGATGCCGTCCCCGGCGGCGGTTTCGGTAAGTTGACGATGGCACAAGATACGCGGGCAGCACTGACTGTGGTTTTCCAGAGGACCCCGCGGAATTCTTCAGCATGATCTTCGGTGGCAGTGCGTTTGTCGATCTCATCGGTGAGATCTCGCTCATGAAGGACTTGACTGCGACAATGGATATCACCATGCAACAGATGGAGGAGGAAGAATTGGCCGCCTCCGCCGAGGAGAAACTCAACATCCACGATGAGGAACAAGCCGCTCGCGCCTCTGCCGAGGGTACGACACCAACCGCGACCGAGTCCCCGGCCGCCGCACCCGAGAAGCCCGCCGCGGAGAAGCCCGCCGCGCCCACCTCGTCCAGCTCCGGTGCTAGCACGCCCCGCCGCTTCATGGGCCAGCAGGCCATCATGGACAAGTCCGAGGAGGAAGCGCGCATGGAGGCAGCCGGTCTGTCTCAGGAAGAGAAGGAGCTGCGCAAGAAGGAGAAGAAGAAGGGTCTGTCGAAGGAACAACAGGAGCGGCTGGCAGCCTATGAGTTGGAACGGAAGAAGGCCCGCGAGGAGCGCGTCAACACCCTGGCCACCAAGCTGATTGACAAGATCAGCGTGTGGACGGAGACCGACAAGGGCGCGGACGTCACCCGCGCCTTCGAGGAGAAGATTCGCCTGGAGGTGGAGAACTTGAAGATGGAGTCGTTCGGTCTGGAGATCCTGCACGCGATCGGCGCCACCTACGTGCAGAAGGCCACCTCTTTCCTCAAGTCGCAGAAGTTCCTGGGTATTTCCGGCTTCTTCTCGCGCTTGAAGGACAAGGGCACTCTCGCCAAGGAGACCTGGACGACTATCTCGACCGCCATCGATGCGCAGATGACGATGGAGGAGATGGCCAAGTTGGAGGAGCGCGGCGGAGAGGACTGGACGGACGAGAAGAAGGCCGAGTACGAGAAGAAGGTGACTGGTAAGATCCTGGCAGCCGCCTGGCGTGGCAGCAAGTTCGAGATCCAGAGCGTGTTGCGGGATGTCTGCGACCAGGTGCTCGGCGATAAGCGCGTGAAGCTGGACAAGCGTGTGGAGCGCGCCCACGCTTTGGTGATTGCGGGCAACATCTACTCCAAGGTGGGTTATTCTCTACTTAAACAATTATAAGAAAGCTAATCTGGACCACAGGCCGAACGTGACCCCGAGGAGGAGGGTGACTTTATGGCATTCGAGCAGTTGATGGCCGAGTCAATGACGAAGAAGGGCAAGGATGAGAAGAAGAAGAAGGGCAAGCACGGGCATTTCCACCACCACCATGAGGAGGAGGCCGAGGCCACTGCTGCTTAGTTCTACTTATGCATATGTATTGATTTTGTCCCAGTATAAGGCCGTCTGGCTCCGACGGGATACTTGGTTGGATATGGGATGTTTCTCTGTAGCGACTGGTATTTTGATTTTCCCACGCGCACCGACGATGTGACCCACCCATACTTAGATGGATTTTAATAGATTGCTTTTGCTTGAGGAAGTGACGCGGTACTTAGAGTAGGGGTGGTTTTGATGCACCATGGTCAGATGATAAAAATAGTGAGACTTACCTCCCAACCTCGTTGAGCCGTTGTGCCTGCAGCTTTCCCAGCCTCCCGACATCGGGGCTTTTGCCTGATAAGCTTTTCGTCTTTCTCGCTCCCGCTCCCAGGGACTGGATGATTCTGGTTGGGTTGAGTCCACTGAGTCCACCACTGAGTCCACAGCCCATCCATCTGCAACTAGTGCCAAGTCTAAATAATTTATCTCCTATCAAGGTCCCCCGCACGCGACCAGCTACCGTGTTGGGATTCCTCCTCCCCACTGTTGGTCGTCTAGCTGGAATGTAACCAGTTTCTGCTTCCTTGATACGGCGGAGTTCCGCGTCTTTTGTCCGACATTGACTCCATTGATCGTCACAATCCTTCCTGCGTCGCCCGCCCGCCCCGTTATGGACTGCGGTATATAACCCTAACTTCCCCCCGCTTTGCTGCAAGATGACTCCGAGAGCTCCCCGACTGTGTCATCGTACGACCCGCGCCTCGCTCTTCATAACCCTCGGCCTGCTCCTCCTGGCTCTGAACCTCATCCCCTCCTCAATGCTGCTCTCCTCCACCCAGGTGGTCCTGGCCACCCTGGGCGCCAGCGCGGCCGCTCTGCCCAGCACATCATCATCCGCCGCAGCCTCCGCACCGACGGGCTCCGCCCTCCCCGCTGGCTTCGACATCACCGCATACTGGGGCAACCTGAGCCCCTACAAAGATGGACCCGGCTTCAACGTCTCAACCGGCGTCCCGCTGGGCTGCGAGCTCTCGCAGGTGCACGTCCTGCACCGCCACGCCCAGCGGTACCCGACGCCGTATGCGCTGGACGGCCTCAGCATGGAGGCTTTTGCGCAGAAGCTCCAGAACTACAGCCTGCAGCACCCCAACGAGACGCTGGGCACCGGCCCGCTGGCCTTTCTGAATGATTGGAAGTACCTCATGGGCGAGGATCTCCTGCTGCCCTCCGGCGCGGCCACCGAGGCGACGTCCGGGGCCAACTTCTGGAACAAATACGGCCGGCCGTTGTTCCGCGCCCCCGCCGGTCTCGCGGACTGGGATCCGTCGTTGAACGTGTACCCCAATGGGACGCAGCGGCCCAAGCCCATTTTCCGGACGACAGGGCAGGCGCGGATTCTCGAGAGCGCGCGGTGGTGGTTGAGTGCGTACTTCACTTCCCTTCCACTTACACGAATGTTGCCAGCTGCATCCCTGATGGTAGTGTACTGACAAGAGCGACCTCAAAAGGTGGATTCTTCAGCAGCACGAACGCCAACAACTCCGCCAGCCAATACGACCTGGTGATCATCCCCGAGACAAGCGGCTACAACAACACCCTAGCAGCGACGTGCCCCGAGGCGCAGTACGAGGGGTGAGTGTCCGCCCCAGCCAGCCAGCCAGCCCTACTACACCCATCCCCCATATACCCCCAAAAGTCCAAATCAAACAAAAAACTAACCCCCCAGCCCAGCGACACCTCCGCCGAAACCTTCCTGAACATCACCACCCCGACAATCCTGCACCGCCTAACGCCCTACCTCCCCCCGCAGCTCGCCGCAACGCTCACCCCGCTCGACATCCTCAGCATGCTAAACCTGTGCCCCTACGAGACCGCCGTCCTCGGCAGCTCGGCCTTCTGCCCCCTGTTCACCGCGGCCGACTGGGAAATCTTCGCCTACGCCCTCGACCTCCAATTCTACGGCGACTACGGCTTCGGCTCGGCGTCCGGCCGCGCCCAGGGCCTCGGGTGGGTGCTCGAGCTCGCCGCGCGCCTCAACAACAGCCTCATCACCACGCAAGCCGCCAACATCAACCTCACCTACGACTCTTCCCCGAAAACCTTTCCCTTGCATCAGCAACTGTACATGGACATGTCGCACGACGACGTGATCGTCTCCGTGCTCGCCGCGCTGGGCGTCGAGTACTTCAACTTCGGGCCGCATGGGTTGCCCGGCAACGTGAGCGTGCCGCCGCCCAGACGGTTCAGGTTGAATGAGGTGGCGCCGTTCGGGGCGCATCTGGTGGCGGAGGTGTGGTCGTGTCCTGTCGCCCATAAAAAGGTGTTGGGGGGCGCGACGCTGTATGAGAATCCGGCAGTGAAGGGGGTCGTCGAGGCGGAGGATTGGGTGCGGTTTGTGCTGAATGGGCGGACGGTGCCGCTGGGGGGCGTGAGTGGGTGTGCTGATGCGGGGGATGGGTTTTGTTTGGTGGAGGGGTTGCTGGGCGGTGTCGGGGAGATGGTCAGGTTGGCGGAGTATGAGAGGGCGTGTTTGGGGAATGGAACTACTAGTCATGGGCAGGTTGGGGATGGGAGGCCGGTGTAAGTTGGTTCTGTTTGGAAGGAGGTGTGTGGTGGTGAGGAGGTTAGAGGTGGAGGGAGGATTGTTTGGATGAGTTCATCTAGAAGTGAGACGCGGTGGAAGTGGGATTGTGGAAGTATGCAACGATGACAAACGCAAGATGTAGAATGAATCCATTCGATCTCGATTCTATGGATAAAGTCTAAACGCTGGGGTATCTAGTAACAGTAACAGTAACAGTACCAGTAACAGCAACAGTACCAGAGCAAGTGGCTGATCAGCCGGCCAACACAAATCAATCTATCGCTATCGCTGGTAACACACACTAAAACAAAAAAAGACTAAATGCCAGCTTTAGTCGGGGTCGACAAACGCTCTCTCCGTATAATGCTGCAATCAAAGCCAGGGTAGAATATTAAGTATTAAGTAGAAGAAAGAATGCTTGTGCGGACAGCTCATCGTCAATGGCTGGACGGCTCCTCGTCGGAGAGCTCCTCGTCTGAAAGCTCCTCCTCAGAAAATTCCTCGTCTGATCGCGGCCCGTCGGATAAATCTCCAGAGGTGCTGGGGCTCGGGAGTGCAGGCACCACGTACTCCGGGTCATTGGGGTCATGCATATCCTCGGGCGCGAGTACCCGGCCGCCCAGTTGCACATCGTTCACGTGGACTCGATACTCGAGCGCCCGCTGGCCCTCCTTGATGAGCTCCTCCGTCCACCCCAGGCACCGCTTCAGGCTCTGATTCATCCGTTGGCTGTCGGCGAGAAGCTCCTGGTGTTTGGCCAGGTCGAGCAGGAACCGTTTCTCATCCCGTGTACGGTGGCTTCCCTCCGGGTCAACCTGAGAGTCAGCCGGGCTCAGCACGCCTGAATCAACCATGGAATCCTCCTCGTCGCTCAAGTCCGACAGTTCCTGCGGCGATGACCGGGTCGACGACCGCTCGCTGGGGGCCTCGTCAATCTCGGTGTGAATGGAGAGCGTGGCCGACACGGACCGAGACGACTGCGCCATGGACAACCGTCCCGAGCGGCTGAGGCGTCGGTATCGTCGGAGTTCCGCGTTCTGCTTGCGCATCTCGCGCTCCAGGGTTCGGTTGATGGCCAGCAGCGACGAATTACTGATTTCCAGGTCCAGAATCTTCCGCTCGGTCCGCGCATTCAGCGCCACCCCGTTGGAAGATTGACCACCGCTTTCGGACTTAGACGGGCTCTGCATTCCGGAGCCATGGGTTTCTACCGATGCGATCGATCCATTGCTGAAGACACGGGGACGAAGACCTGGCAACGGGTCGGTGGCTATAGTGCTGGTGTCGAGCTTGGGCTCGGAGGGAGATATGATCAAAGGGCTGGGTCGAAGGCCTTCTTTGTGGGGGTGAGGCATGGAAAGTGGGGCACCATTAGGGGCACCATTGTTTGCTGAGTCCACGCTGGACGATTTGAGGTGGCGCACGGCGGGACCGGGTCGGGCGGAGATGGTGCTCAATGGAGGGCTCTGAGGCGGTACACTGGGTTCTAGGGGCTCTTCCAATTGTGAGCTGACCTGAGATGCAACACCGTCCGAAAGGCGGGGGTTTGAGTTCACCCGAGCGGGTCGTAGTCGCGGTGAGGGAGAGGCAGGCTTGGACGAAACCACAGAGCGCGAGAGCGATCGACGTTTGTACGAGGTAGGTCCTGTCCCAATATCACTCATCGGCGCTTGTCGCTCCTCTTGTCCGTTTGCGTAGACGAATGTGGTCGCGGAGGCCGATTTGCCCGCCAATCTGGGCCGGACCTCGGTCGTCTCGGATGACGAAATCGTGGATCGGGCATCACTGGCGTGGAAAAACATAGGAGATGCAGAAGCATTCTCGGAGGATATATGAGGTCGTGCGAGGTGGTTGGGCTCTCCAGTCACTGTTTTGGTTCGGGCAACCTTCGGGGGTTCGAGCATGCCTCCCCGGACTGGGCTCCGCTCGGTGCGGAACCGCCCCTGAGGGCCCCCCTGAGCCACGCTGGGTTGTGCCCAGGACACATGTAGTGAACTCGTCCCATTCGAGGAGTGGTTATTCGGCGAAGCAGTCGATCCGTCTCTTCTGCTGGCGCGGGAACCGGATCGAGGGGTCACGTTGGCACTGAGGAGGGAGGGTTCCGGCTCCCGCCGACCAGGGGCCGAGGAGGGATGCTCGGAGGGGGTCGACCGGTGAGGGGTGCGATATCCGCCTGGTGTGGCTAGTCGAGGAGTCAAAGGAGATTTAGTCTGGGTGCGATGGAAGGATGCACTGAGGGCGGGGGTTAGGGGTTTGGCGAGGTGGCCATGGGATTGTTTATCGGAGGTCATAGTTGCGGCACTCGAGGGGCGGATGGAAAGGAGGGCGACTTATGGCATTGCGATGCTCCAGGAGGTTCTGAAGCATGATGGCACCAGCCGGCCACGGATCGCAAATTGAAAAGAAGGCCGTCAGGGTGAGGCAGAAAAGAAGATGAGGAAATGGATAAGCGAGGCAGAAGGAGAAGAGAATTCGTGTGGGTTGTTGGGGGGGGGGGGTAAAAGTGGGTGGAGTTAGTGGTGGTTTAGTTGCTGCCGAAGGCGAGTTGTTGGCAGGAGGAGCAGCAGCAGCAGCAGCAACAGCAGTCATAATAATTAATGAAGAGTTTAAAGTAGAGTAGGATGTTTTGGCCGAGCAAAACAATCCCCGCCTAATTCGGCTAGCTTTCTTCTGCCGCCCGCCTTTCGTTTCACCGCCGCTATTATTATCGATTCAACCTTCTTCTCTTCCTTCTTCCTCCTCTCCCTCCAAAGGATAAGCCACAGCTAATTGAACATCAGATGAAGCTGCTGATACGAGCATACCATCACCAGCCGATCTGGACCACACACAAGATCACGGCCCGATGCCTCCCAGCCTCCGCCAACCCCTCGCGCATTGCATGGGCTGATGCAATTGACCCCCGATCGAGCCCGAAGCTTTATCCAGCTTAGTCACTTGGTGGCTACGGCGATCACCCCATATTAACTTATCATATCACTGTGGCCGTTGTCATGGATGGACTTCTTCGCCCGGGATCCCCTCATTCCCTCCGTGAGGCTCGCGAGTTGATCCGATCGGATCAGGGACGCAGTTGACCCCGGTTTACCTCTGATCTCACGCGGAATGCCCGATCGGCCCATGTGTAGTGCACGTGATTCCCTTCCCCTCCACTATGGCAGCCACGCAAGGGATGCATGGCCCTTCACCTCTGACGCCTGCGTCATCTGACACTCCGGATTTCTTGATTCTTGCGCCGAATCTGGGGTGGGAATGCCGTGTGCCAAGCTGATGGAGTTGTCTCCTCAAAGGGATAACATAGCCAGCTTAAATGCCAGCTATTGCCAGGACAAACCTCTCCTCGTCGTGGTTGATTGACTTCTTGCGCCCGTAGCGTTGCGCTTGCTTTCGAATGTTCGTTACCGACCTAGATAAGGTGTCTGTTCCTGACGAATTCCCGGTTGGTCCCTGGGGTTCCGGCCAGGATCCGCCTCTACGCAATGGCCTTTAAGGATAAATTCAGTAGTGGTCGCCCGATCCCACAGAAGTACAAAGTCTACCAGTATCACTGTATAGGCGACAGGCTTCGTGCTCATCAAGATGGTTGAGCTTCTAGAGGCGCATAATCTTACAACCTTACCAGTCAAATCCCTGGACATACAACCAAGCAATTCAAGAATACCATTGCACCTGTTCGACTCTTGTGGTTAGGCCCAGGCTTACTGTGCAGACTGTCGATTTACTTGTCCATAATCTCACTGTAACTGATTGCTTGTCGCTTTGTTCACGAATCCTCGCAGTAACTCAACACCCCAGGATCCAGACTGTCATCCATCACCTATTCCTTCAAAGCCAAGACACGATTTCAAGTGGTGCCTGCTGGCAACTAATACAATGGAAAACATTCTGACTGCGGCTTATCTTGCAGAAGCTCTAGGGCTGGGCGTGCAACAACCGCCGCGGTGTCGGCGTCGGAATCGGGTTAGAGCCAAACACTCGATGAAGATATTACCGCTGCAAGATAGTCACCGTGAGTTAGCGTGGCGAGCGTGTTGCACTTCCAAATCCTATGGCGTGCTTATTTTTCTCTTCCTTTCCCTATATAACTTACCAGCGACCATGAACTTGCTCGTCATTTCTGCTTTACAACTTTCTTGAACCGGGATCTAGGGATTTTGCACCAAACATCGAAGTCCAGAAAATCCGGGGACCAAGATGTCAATCGGCAGCACACACTCGAGCGACGACCTTGATGCTTATGCTCAGGAGAATCGGCTTCAGAGTATCCTTCAGCGCCAGCTAGACGGATTACCTACCACACCTTCTGCAAATGGCACAGTGTTCGACTATGTGGGAAAGTTAGACCTGCTCCTGATTGCAATCAGTACTTTTGCGGCCATAGTCGCTGGGGCACTCAACCCCCTACTCACTGTTGTCTACGGTCTTGTGGTTAGGTCTTTTCAGAAGCATGCGAACGGCGCCGATGATGGCGCAAATCTCTCCTCCAATGTGTCGAAGCTCGCGCTGTACAACGTCTATCTTGGGCTGGCCGAGTTCGTCCTCATCTACATCGCAACAGTAGGCTTCTACCATACAGGCGAGCGCATCACCAGAAATTTGCGTCGTGTATACTTGAGGGCGATCATCCGGCAGAATATTGCCTTCTTCGACACGCTGAGTCCCGGGGAGTTCACGGCACGTATCACTTCGGACATGAACATCATTCAGGAAGGTATTACTAGCAAGATTTCAACCTTCTTGACGGCCTTGGCTACTTTTGCCTCGGCTGTTGTGATTGCGTTCTTTGAGTACTGGAAACTAGCTTTGATGCTGATCTCAACTTCCCTCTTTATTGGCGGGGCTGAATTTCTGGGGGCTATGTATGCTCTGAAATTCAGTCGACGGAGCTCAGCGGCTCTGAATCAAGGAGCTTCCATCGTAGAGGAAACCACCAGCTCTATCCGACATGTTGCTGCGTATGGAATCCAGAGTGCCATGCGTGAGCGATATCTGAAGCATCTTGACTTGGGCGAGACTTGGGGGCTCAAAGCACGATTGTCGGTAACGTTCATGATCGGCACCATGAACTCCGTACCGTATCTCAGCTACGCTTTGGCCTTTTGGCAAGGGTCCCGCTACGTTGTCACTGGGGAGATGAGCGGGTCAGCCGTGGTCACAACGACTATGGCCATCATTATCGCTTCCTTCGCTGTTGGCAGGGTGGCACCCAGTGCCGAGTCAATGGTCAAAAGTGTAGTACATGCCGGAGTTATCATAAAAGCTATTGCTCGCCAATCTCCCCTTGATCCACTGACAACGGAGGGACGAACTCTATCAGACGTACACGGTGAAGTTGATTTTCATGATATCAGCTTGGTATATCCATCACGGCAGTCTGTGCAGGTTCTCGATCAGGTATCTCTGCACTTCCCAGCTAACAAGTCAACGGCTCTAGTCGGAGCATCTGGTTGCGGGAAGAGTAGCATAGTCGGGCTTTTGGAACGGTTCTATGAGCCGACTGGTGGTTATATCAGTGGGTAGCCACACCATGGATATTATCATTGAGTTGCCTAATTGATATATAGCATTGGATGGTGTGGACATTGCACACCTCAACCTACGTTGGCTGCGACAGCAAATGTCATATGTTGTGCAGGAGCCGGTTCTGTTCAACAGAAGCATCTTCGACAATATCCTCTTGGGACTTAACGATCTGGATCAACATAGAACCATGCTTGAGGCGAGAGAGCTGGTGCATGCCGCGGCGAAAATTGCCCATGCCCATGACTTCATCATGGCTTTGCCGCAAGGGTATCACACTGCAGTGGGTACGAAGGGTCTGCAATTGTCTGGCGGCCAGCGGCAACGCATATGTATTGCAAGAGCGGTCATCAGCAATCCTAAGATCCTATTGCTGGATGAGGCTACATCTGCCCTTGACTCGAAGTCCGAAAAGGCAGTTCAGCTGGCTTTGGACTCAGCTGCCAAAAATCGAACAACAATTGTCATTGCTCACAGGTTGTCGACTATACGAAATGCTGACAACATCATTGTCATCGATAAGGGAATTGTTCTTGAACAAGGAACGCATGAAGATTTAATGGCCCTAAAAGGTGTCTATGCACAACTCGTCAAGGCGCAGCAAATTGACAGTGCTACGGAAGGTGAGACAATTGGGCTTCTATCTAGTACTGAAGATGGTATATCGAGCGATGGCAAGGCTGGGCCCTTTGAGGTGTCAGAAACAGTCAACTCTCATCACGACAACTATCTCGCCAAGAATCATGGACGACTTCATGACTCCAGACCTTCATTCAGAACCTACTTTCGAGTGGTGCGCAAACTCAACAGAGAAGAGGCTGCAATAGTACTCATTGGACTTCTACTCTGCATTCTTACGGGATTCGTGGTTCCAACGTAAGTACTTACGCATGCTGCCTGAAAAGCGGCTAACATGTAAAAGGCAAGCTGTTTTCTTCGCTGAATCGATCAGTGCTATCACTCTTGACTCTACGAGATATAGCAAGCTTCGCCATGATATCAACTTTTGGTCCTTGCTTTTTGTGATCCTTTCGATCTTTGCCTTCATCACATGGATAAGCCAAGGCATCTGCTTTTCCCGGTCCACAGAACGACTCACACACAAAACCCGAGACCAGACATTCCAGTCCATCATCCGTCAAGACATCGCGTTCTTTGACGAAAAGAAGAACTCCCCTGGAGCCCTGACGTCTTTCGTCTCGACTATAGCCACTGACATTACCGGTCTGAGCGGGCCAATCATCGGTTCCAGCCTCACCTTCATCGCAGCCCTGGGCATAGGCATCACTGTCTCTCTCATCGCGGGCTGGAAGCTCGCTCTCGTCTGCATGGCCACGATCCCCATAGTGGCAGGATGCGGCTACGTGCGCCTCCGCGTACTCGCGCTGTTCGACCAACGCGTCCGTAAAACGCACGAAGAGGCCGCTATCTACGCGACCGAGATCATAACGACGATCCGATCGGTCGCTTCCCTCACTCTTGAGGAGTATTTCCTCGACGAGTACACGGCCATCCTCTCCCGCTCAGCCGCTCAGTCCATGCGATCGATCTTGAAAGCGTCGGCCCTGTACGCCGCGTCCCATTCATTCACCTTCTTCTGCGGCGCCCTCGCCTTCTGGTACGGCGGCACTCTGCTCGCCAAGGACGAGTACACCATCCTCCAATTCTACATCTGCTTCGGCGCTCTGATCTCGGGCGCTCAAATCGCCGGCGCGGTGGTATCCTACGCGCCCGACATGAGCAAAGCGCTGCACGCGGGCCAGGAAATTGACAGGCTGCTCGACCGTGTCCCGGCAATCAACACTTGCGAGCACGAACCACATCCCATTCCCACAAACCACCACGGCGCCATCGAATTCCAAAACGTCACCTTCCACTACCCCTCCCGGCCCTCCCACCCCGTCCTCCAGAACTTCACCCTCACCATCCAGCTCGGCCAATTCATCGCGCTCGTCGGACCCAGCGGCTCCAGCAAAACCACCGTCCTTCAGCTCCTGGAGCGGTTCTATACCCCTACCGCCGGCCAAATCCTGTTGTATGGCGTCGATATCTCGCAGCTGGATGTCGCCAAATACCGCAAGACCTTCTCGCTGGTCAGCCAAGAACCCGTCCTGTACGACGGAACCATCCGCGAGAACCTCCTCCTCTGCGGCACAGACCCGGCCGACCGCCCGCTCGACGACGAGGCTTTGTTGCAGGTGTGCAAGGAAGCGAATCTTTATGATTTTGTCCTCTCACTTCCGTATGTTATCCCCAGCCCTATCTCAGCCCCGACCTGAGAGCCTGAAATCTCTTAGGATACAGATGTTAACACGAAAGGAAAAACAGCTCCGGCCTCGACACCCGCCTCGGCACAGCAGGGACCATGCTCAGCGGCGGCCAGAGACAGCGTCTGGCGCTCGCGCGGGCCCTGCTGCGGGCCGACAGTCCCGTGCTGCTCCTGGACGAGGCGACGTCGGCGCTGGACGGCGCGTCGGAGCGCGTGGTCCAGGAGGCGCTGGATCGAGCGGCGGTCCGCAAGACGACGGTGGCGGTCGCGCATCGGCTGCGGACGGTGCAGCGCGCGGATCTGATTGTTGTGATGGAGCGGGGAAGGGTGGTCGAGCAGGGGAGTCATGGGGAGTTGATGGCCAGGAGGGGGGTCTATGCGGAGTTGGTGGGGATGCAGCGGTTCGAGGGGGTTTAGATTTCTGGTTTGCTGGGGAGTGGGATTGGATGTGGTGGTTTATAAAAAAAAGACTTTTTTGACGTAGATAGGCGTGGTTGATTTTTTGGGTTGGGGGGGGGTAAAAAGAAAACAAGAAAAGAGGTTTCCTCCCACCTCCATACTGTGAGGTTTAATCTGTCGACTAATGTCTAGATCGCTACCTCGCCACACTATCTCACATAGTTCCAAGCTCGTGTGCCAAGTACACATTCCCAAGCGCCTAAAGACAGTTGAATCCCGCGTGGCGACTCCGGAATTCATCGCTCCCGCATCTTCCAACAAATGACTCTATGGAATCACCACGACAATCCCATCCGTTGCGTGGAGGAAGGATAGATAGTTTTCGAGATGCTGGGATGTGGCAGCCTAAGGCACCAAAGCCGGAGAGTCGCTATATCTTCCTGCAACAACATGGCCGCGGTGGTGTAGTAGTTTTAGCAGTGCGGAGCCCCCATAGTCTGGAGCGCGGTGGGAGTGCAGGGTCTGGGCTCAATTCCTGGCCGCGGCATTGTTCTTGGGGTTCTTGTTGCAGGGGGCAGGCATCACAAGGGCGTCGTGGGCGGTTGATGGAGGGGTTGGGTGTCGTAGGGTTTGGGGGATGGGGGATGCGTGGGATTTGCTGAGGCTTGGGGGGTCGGAGGTGAGGTTTTTGCCGTGGGTGAGATTGAATTGGTTTTTATTCGATGGTAGGGTCTGTGGTGTTTGAGGAGTTTGGGAGGAGGGCAGGGTAAGCAGGAAGAAGTAGAAGAGAAGGAGAAGGAGAAGAGGAAAGAGGAAGAGAGAGGGCAGGAAGGAGGAAGACAGACGAGAGTGAGGAGGAGTGCTGAGAAGGGCATGTCAGCAAAGTCGAGTGCTTTTTTGGCCGATTCTTGGAGCTCCCGTCTATATTGTACTTGACTCGCAATTCTTGGAATGGTCTTGGACGAAGGTGCGTTCTAAAGGGCTGACAAGAATAAAATCTGTACAGAGTACTCAACGAATGTTGGTTTCGTCATAACGTCAACAGAGAGGTACGGCACGCCAGGCGCCTGCACCTGCTCAGCGATACTTGGGCCAACGCTGACTGCCTGGCCCATAAACGCCCGATGTTAACCACCAGTGGAGACAGAAGCTCAGTAGTATAGACATCCTGTCAGGCCAAGTCCAGCTGAGTTGCATTCGACGTCTAGAACTACTCCAGGCTGTGTTCAGGATTCATGCCTTGTACCCTTCCTCATCAAGTTCCTATTGGAGAAGACCAAGCATGTGGCCGCAGGAACAGCTTACGGCGCCAAGATGATATAAGGTCATGCCTGAAGCGGAGCGTACTGCCTTTGTGCTCTCGAGAATTTGGAGCTAGGTAGTTTTGCTTGTCAACTTGAAAACGATTGATTCACATGATGATGACGGTATATACCAGAAAGAACTTCCAGTATATACCTATCCACGCGACATCTATCTCGCCCTGTGAAGTCCGGACTTGGATGTGATGGAGCGGAAGTGTGCAACAATGGCAGGCACTTTGCACGATAGGGACACTAGGCTGTACGAGATAACATGGTAAGCACAGAACATTCTCGAGCATCTGTTGCAGGGCACTAGTCATGATCCGACGAGTAGATTGCGCAAGATGATGACTGCAGAAGCTCACGAGGTCAGAGTTGGAGTGTTGGTCTAATGTCATCCGACTCTTGGTCGTGATCCCTTGCTTCTCGATTGCAACAAGCCCAGGTACGGAAACAGGAATAGCATGTGTTCGTTATCCATGCCAATTCTATTTCGAATTCTAATCGACATCATTAGCTCTCCTGCCCTGAGTCGTTCCAATCGGAGCAATGCGGCCTGTTGGAGCTATAAATTAACAAGTGACTAGGCAAATAGCGGCATCAAGCACTGCAACGGTACTATAATTTGTGGCACAGACAGTGAAGCGAAGACTAGTTCGGAGGGGTTCTGAAGTTCATGCAGGTCTTACCATCGCTCAAAAATAAATGCCACTAATTTGCATCCTGGTTGACCCGCATACTAGTCCTGCGGGATAAAAATATCCCTAATTTTGCTGAGTTCGGCGATGCGCTAAGCCCAACCAACAGGTTTTTACCTGCGCGAGAGCAACGAACTCCGGACTAAGCAGACTAAGTGTCCCTTTGAGGTGGTATTAATAGGATGATTGTCAGTAGAATCCACCAATCATCCACCAAAGGAGGTTTCCAACAGGTTGGCTCTGACAGCTACACAGCCCTCGGCTGGGGTTGACAGCGGCGACGCTCCATGCCACTGGACCGTTTCAAGTGGGTGTCAAAGTAGCAAACTGTTTCAACCCAACCACGTACCGGTCAAACAACGTGACATCTGCGGACTAAAAAGCCTCACGGCCACGCGAGAACAATACTTAAGGACATCATGCACATCACCTTTGCCCGAGTGAGACATTGGCATTGTTCTCGGCAGTCATGTCGATGGCTTCAGCGGCAAACTACCAAGCAAGCGCCACGTTGACCCCCTGCTCGAGCCTCATCGACAGGGAGCTACCCCACAAGACGGCCGTCGAAGATACAACGACGGCGCAACTGGCATTCGCCCTGTTCGAGGAGAAGGTGCTAAAGAGACTCGAACATGTGGTACGCTTGTACAATGCTGGGAAGCCGCTTTTCCCCCGAGCGCTGCTGGAAGACCTTGACCGGCAAATCGAAGAAGGCAGGGAGGAGATCCGCATCAAGGACTTCGATGATGTGGTAAGCACGTATAGCCGGAGTGTCCCTGCTGTGTGCTTGGACCTGGCGTGAGTCTCCGTTTACGTGGGTCGCGGTGTTGTCATGCCTGGTCTAATCAGCGACAGAACAACATACTGCATCGGATACAGCAGTATCCAAGTGCTTACCTATATCCACCCGTCCTGTGCAACGATGATGTTCAAGGACCCTCCCCCAGTGTCCATTCTATACACCCGTCATCCAGAAGTCGCCGAAGGGAGCATCGAAATGCTTGGCCCGGTGTTTGTCAAGATGCGCGAACGGTGGCAGGAGAGCGAGACATGCCAAGAACTGGTATCCCACCTGACAACCCTGCGCTTCTCCCTCCCCATCCATAAGATTGTGGCGTTCGGCCTTGGGACACTGGGCAAGACGCAGAATGGACGGTTCTCCACCCGTTCACATGTTCAGCATGCGGCAGTGGAAACGATGGCGACCGTTCTGGCCAAAAGTGGGGTCAGTGAAGGCAAGAGGATCGACTGCTACTTTCAAGATCCATGGTACGATGAGAACGATGTCAGATTCCTTCGCAGCATTGGTTTCCAACCACTGAACGACCCGAAGGGGTTCCTTGAGATTGACGAACATACCTTGGTGTTTTCAGTCAGTCCCAATGTACCTGTGAAGCAGATTGTCGCTGATCTTCAGTGGCCCAGTGCCATGATTTGGAATACTGTGTGCGGGGAAGAGGAGAGGAAGCAGTGGAAGAGGCAGTTGAGGAATGGCGAAGAGTTCTGGTTGGGGTAAGTTCGTGCCTTGTTGCCTGGGGAATCGATTCAGTTTGTACTGATTGTTTGCTGTCGTACAGCCCGCTCGCCACCGATCCCGACTCGGACCGCGTTTGTGAGATGATCACCCACTACCAGGAATTCCCATTGCACGACCCAAAGGACTATTTCGGGGACCTTTCTATCTATGTTAGGCATTGATGTATGTGGATTGCTAGTACCGATTCGTCTCTCTCTCTCTCTCTCTCTCTCGTTGGGTGTGTGTGTTGTATACATGTGTTGGGCGCGTGGAATATATCTTCACCGACGCGCATTGCTTCATGTACGCAGACATTCGCTAGCACCAATAAGAATTAACTTAGAATAATTTGTTCCTGTTCTATTTACTCTAAGTGTAATACCCTTTGAGATCTGGGTGGCTGGGGCTAAGATTGATTGTCCCACCTATGCGATTGATGAGCGTGAGGCAAGGATGATTGCTGCCTGAGGCTTGATGGACCACACCCAATCTCATTAAATTAGGTACTGTACAGAAGTAAGTTGATCACTGGAAACAAACCATTGGCGAGGGGGGCAAACTAATTTCCTCCTACTGCAATTTGCTGTTGAGCATGGTTTCTAACAGCACAATTTATTTACTGAGTACATTGGCAATAAAACTATAATTCCCGTATTCGTTCTTCGTCTTAACTAGTGTCCAGATCTTGTATTTGGTAAGTAATATCATCATAAAGATCCTTGTCATTAGATTTAGATGATTAACTAGTGTCCTATATTTTCTTTAGCCTTAAATAGGGCTCCTGATCACCTTGATGGTTGAGGAATTTGAGCTATTTTCATGATTAAACCTCGTTCGGTCAACTTACGATATCATCAACAACGACCTAGTGGACATCTATCTGACCAACTCGTTCAAAGAGTGTATCTCCTCAGGTTGCAGCTTCTCCTTAGCCTAGTGATTCCCCTGATCATCAGTGCCGCAGTGCCACGGCAAGGAAACGACATTGTGGAGTGTTGCAAAATCTTCTTCGGGAATGGTCGATCCTTAGGGCAATGTGTCGCCAACGCCCAGAAAGGGTCTGGACTATGTGGATAGCCTCGAGAGTGCAATTCAAGACACATTATGACTCACGATAGGCCACGCTCATAATTCGGATAACACTTCGGTAGATTGGCTTTGGTGACCAACATTCAGGATACTTCGGTCGGTGGTTTGACATGTTTACGCCGTTTGTCACGGTTGCTTGATGGATCATTCCCCCCTCCCTTATCATGACAGCTTATGTAGGCTAATCATGGATCGTCGCTCGCATGTATCAAGGAAGTCAAAACGTCTCGGTATAAGGAAGCCCCACGTGGGCGATTAATATAATCATTAAAATTGTTCGGGGTGTATATTCTGTTCTCCGCCAGGAGAGGAAGTAGACTTTGAGCAAACAGTCTTCGCCCACCGCTATAGACAAAGCCGAATGGATGCTCTAAGCTCCTACAAAGGTCGATCCCAAGTTGTATGATTAAGTAAGTCAAACAGTCCGTAGTCACCGGGCAGGTGGCTCCACGGGGCCAGACCACCACCGCTGCTTGTCTGCCATCCGGCGTCAGCCCGGTAAGTGGAAGGGTCTGGCAGATCAAGCCGAGTGCCGAGACCCTCGGTCTCGAAACTATTATCCGAGCTGTTTTCAGTTCCTGGCGTCACCTGGGTGGATATTGATGGACACAGTCGACGCAGGTTGTTTCTGATGAAGAGAGCTGGATGCCAGGACGTCGACAGTTCGTCCAGCACAGTAATGCAACTAGCGAGGTGGGTGGCATTGGAGGGGCTCTCGTGATCTTCCAGCAGCGCCACCGCAGCAGAGAGCGTGCAATGCATGGCAGAAATGGGACTGCGGTGAAAGCTCTGGAAAGCACGGCGGTATTTCTGAGCCGTAAGACACATCGCCTTGGCGGACTCGCGCCAGACAGCTTTGGCCACGGTGATCAGTTCGCTCGACCCTGCTGCGCGTTGATGCTCGACCGAGTGGACTATAAAAGGCCGGGTGAGGAGGATTCGTGCGGTATGGTATAACATATGTAATGTGTAGACGTGAGGGACATCATTTGAGCGGTCGATTCGAAGCTCCTGTGGTAGGTCGTAAAACCATGTCCGCAGGTCCAAGAGGCAGCTTCGTAGGAGGTTCACTCGTTCTGGTGGTTTCGTCAGATGCCTCGGAGCCCACCTGTTCTTGTCATTAAAACACGCTAGCATGTTGATGGTAACAAGACGTACAGTGATACGAGTATTCTTTCCTTTATGCGACACAAAGCTATCATGGCTCTCAGTAGAGGTATTCGTGCCCTTTGGATGTTTTCCGGTGTGCGGCCATCGGTATGTTGATCTTCATCCATTACTGACGGCAGCTCAACTGCTCCTTGTTGATCCTGAATAGGGTCAGTGAGCATGTCAGTTTTGTTCTCGTGAGTACACGTACGAGCATCGAGCAGACCCGACCTGTATACGTGGCAGACATCTTGTCATGACAGTACAGCGTCCAATAAACCTGTCGTCTGAGTCGAAGCTCTCGGGCAGTCATTTGTACTGTCCCTTCAAAGACAGCGGGATCCATATTTAGCCCGATATCAAGGCTCAATCGATTAGCCATCCCGTGATGCAGCCATCCAGCTGCATCTAAGCCTATGGCCTTCGAGGGGAAAGTCAGCATGGAATATACCTTGGAGTCGAGAGACGTACGACGTAGACCATTCCGATGACCCCCAGAGCTTGAATCGTCAAGAATGTCGGATGCTCCATCTCCTGATGTAGAAGGGTTTTGGCTTTTTCAAAAAAAGGTAACCCGGCTGTATTAGAGTCGCTAGGATTACTCCGAACTTCCGGATTATCTGAATAACGGGATCCAAGCGCAAGGATGGAGTAATGGAGGAGCAGACTCCAATACGGGCCCTGTTTTTCCATACTTTCGCGAAAGAGAGTTTCGTCGACGATGGGATACCACGGTTGCTCCCAAGCAAAGTAGAGATCAATGAGCTCGTCCTGGAGCGCTTTCGAAATGCCTATTTCCTCAAAGGCAGGGTCCACAAGGGGAAAGTTGAGAAACTCATCAATGCTCTGCAGGACGGGCTCTAGCTCAGGGACGGAGTAGGCGTTCGACAGTTCCGATTTCTCCTCCGGCCCCGGGGATTCGAACTTGAGCCGTCCGCTGGTTGGTCCAAAGTACCTCATCTCCCCGTCTTGGTCGAAGTTCATGGACTCATCTAGGGACAAGCGGCCTTTGAGGTATTCACATAATTCCTCTATTGATGCACTCTTCATGTTGAAGATCTGAGGATCATCCCCGACATGAGGAGATCCCGCATCAATGGCTTCAGAGGCATGGCTCATCCGAGGATCAATGCCATGACTTTCCAGTTGCTTCTCGAGAGATGCGATCCGCTGCCGCAGAAGAAGCACGTAGGACTTTGGGGCCGGCCGACGGCCATCTTCTGTACCAGAGTATTGACATTGTGCATCATATTGAGCACATCTCGAACAGCGAGGTTTCTTTCCATCGCACTTGTGGCATGTTAGTAAGCAGGCCCTGCATCGAAGGGCGCACCCGAAGGAAAGAGGCTATACCTTCGCTTTTCGTTGTCGACATTCCTCACACGCCTTGCTTGTGTAACGCCCTCTCGATCTAGAGCCGGGTTTTCCTTTGAGTGGATAATCTGTGGATGACATGCTGATAGTTCATGGTTGGAAGAACGAATGGACAGAATGATGAAGCGTGCGCAGTTGGAAGTATTGGGCAGATTTGTCAGCGGCAGCGTCATTGCGGTGCTTGTCTTGGCACGCCGAATCCGGCTAGTCTGCTTCGCTTCCCATTCCCTCCCATTGCGAAACTCGCAGCTTCCTCACGGTGAGGACCTCAACCTACTCAGACTTTTACCACAGACTATCTTATCACTTGACTCAATCGACTGCTCTATTGACCTTGATATCAACAATAGCCCTGTCTATCTGCGCCTCGCAATGCACGGGTAACAAATGAGAAAACAGTGAATCCACCAAACACTAAGAGTCACAAGGTTCCGATCCCGATCCAACTCGGCTCATAGTTCAATACCGCGCCCCCACGGCTTCTCCGGTGGCTAGTGCTACGGCAACGACAGTATCCGAAGCATGGCTGATTGTCACTTCGATGTTACTGATGCCTTTGGATGCTGCAACAGCATGAGCATTGCCATGAAGCTGGCAGGTATCAGTATCAGTCAGCATAGAACAGAAGAGCATAAACTCACGGTCACACTCAGAATTCCATCGGTATTCACAATCTCAATCTCACTCATTGAAGCTCCTGCACCTCTGGACAGCGTTTGCAGACTCTTAAAGACAGCCTCTTTAGCACTCCAACGACCTGCGTAAGAGGCACGGGGACTGGGAGCTTTTCGGCAGTATTCGCGTTCTCTCCATGTGAAATTTCGCTCAATGAAGTTCTCATTTTCGATGTTGATACTTGTGATCTCTTCGACGTCGACCCCGACGGTGACGGATGAAGCCGGCTTAGAACGTCGGGTTACATCGTCAACCATTGATTGGACGATTGCAGATACCGTGTTTGACTTGTCAGCTGTTGACATTATCTCTGCATTGGTTCTCTGGAAGACAAAAGCATCCTGAGTCGATGCGCTGTCAACGAACCGAGATTGATCTTTGGCGAGGCGGCTGTTCTGATTGAGAAACACATCACGCATGTTATCGGTGTCTTTCCACGGAGCACTGGCTTTGATCTGAACTAGTCTATCTGTCAGCAACCGCGAGATGTATTCCCTAGTTGCTGCTCGCTGTCGCCTGTCTACCTCGGTACGGTATTTCTCGAAGGCCTCGGTTGGCACAGATGCAAACAGATACTTCGGAGCGACCATAACGTTGATGGCACCTTTCTGGCCAAAGCCAAACGATGTGAGCATGGTCGCCTTGACCTCAGGAAGCGGCAATGATTCCATGGGGTACAATAGATGCTCGAAACTTCGCAGTTGCTCATCGATGTTGTCGGCATTGCGATTGCCGGGAACAACCCCATCTCGGAATATTTGCATACAACCATGCAGTTGCCAGGCCCCTGCTGCTGCCTTCGGATGGCCTGTTAGTGACTTCTGGCACACGCAGAGCAGTGGGTTGCCTTTCCGTCGACCCAAGTGATGCATCTGCGTGTTGATCACGTCCCCCTCGTTGACCTCATTGGCTTTTGTTGACGTCCCGTGCATTGACACAACCCCAATGTCGTCAACAGTCAGGCCCCATGTAGCCAAAGC